TTTATATAATAAGTTATTATAATAAGCTATATTTAATAGAATCCTTTTCATTATATTTATATATAAATAGGATGTTTTATAAGTTTTATTAATAAGCTTTACCTATTAAGGTATAAATTTTATTAAAAAGCTTTAATATTTTAGTTTTTTCCCTTAATTTATTAATAAGGTTTAATAAGGCTTATTAATATATATGTATAATTACCTTAGTAATCTTTAGTTTATTAAGCTTAGTAAGCTTTTTTTTTCTTATAGCTTATTTTTTTAAGAAATAGCATAAAGGCTTTATAATATATTTACTAATTATTTTAATCCTTTAAATAATTCTCCTTATTAAAACTAAAATTAAAATGCTTTTAGGTAAGTTTATATTTAGTTTTAGACTTTTTTTTTCTTTATTTTTTAGCTTATTTTTTAAGGATTTTTACTTTTTATGCTAGTAATAATATAAAGAATTAAAATCTAAATTGTTAAAATTGTTAAGGTTTAAATCTTTAAGTCTGCTTTTATAGCCTTTGCGGCTACCTTAACCACTAAAGCTATTAGAACTAATTAATTATAAGTTGTTATTATTAAACGAGTTATTTAAGTTATAAGATAAATTAGGGTTGTTTGCTTTGCCTGTTATGGCAGAAACCTTATTATCCTTACCCTTAATTAACTTAGGTTTATTAGTTTTAAGAAATAGCAATAACTTAGCACCTTTAATTAACTTTAGCTTAGTTTTAAAAAGTAATAATAATGGTGTAACATTTCTAAATACCTAAGGTTTATCTATGTTAAAAAATAATAATAGTTTAAAATATTATATTATAATATTACAGCATAAAATGCTTAATAAACCCACTTTAAATAAACTTATATTTATATTTTTTTCTTCGCTAAATGATATTTTACTAAATAATATTAACATTTAAACCAATAATAAATTACCCTAAATAAATTAACTTTAAATTATAATTATAGGCATGGCTTAAAGCAATAATAAATTAATAAGTTTTAATATAATTAATTAGCTTTACAAAATATTACTACTAATATTAAGTTCGTTAAAATATACTAATACTTAATTAAATATCTTATTTATTTAATCCTTACATTTTTATATTAACTAATCTCTTTAAGCCTTACATTTTATTACTACCTTTTACTAATTCATTAACAAATTACATAATATTATTATATTTAAGTTTATACCCTTAACCTTTAACTAATTTATTAATAATACTTTATTATTTTTAATAAATTATTTAAGGACCTTTAATAATAAAAACTTAGCTATTTTTTCTAGTATATAATTCTTTACTTTAAGTTTTTATAATAACTTAATCTATTTTATTATAAATTAATTTATTTTTTCTTTTTACTTTTTTATAAAATACTATAAGTTTTTAATAATAATTTTTTACTATTCCTCCAACATAATTATTCCCTAATTAATTACTACCTTATTATATAAGGTTTAATATCCTTATTTTAAATATAATACTTTATTAAAAAAATATTAATATTAATTAAGCAAAAGCTTAATTATTCTTTCAAAAATGTAAGTTATAATATAAAGGTATTACCATAAAAGCTAATAACAACAATAATATAAATTTAACTATATAAATATAAGGTTATTATATAATATATCTTAAATATTAGGCATATAATTCCTTATTTTATTAAGAATATAAGCTTTACCTATACCTTTATAACCTTAAATATATAATATTATATAAAGGATTATATACCATTCACCTATATATATTTTATTATCTTTATAAATACCTTTTATTTATAAATCTTTTGTAATAATATTTTATACCTATATATTAGCAATAATATATATATATAATGCTATTTTTATATTTATAATTAATTATTTAGCTTAAGTTTTAAATAAATTAATAAGCTTTTTAGCTTATTAATTTGATTTAAAAGTTTTTTCCTCATTATTAATTAATAATTAAATGGTTTTTTAAAGGTTCGATTAAAATAATTAAGGTTAATATAAAAAAGCTTTTTTTAAAAAAAGGGTTTTTTAAGCTTTAGTTTTATATTAATATATATTTATTTAACTATTATATATTACTTAATTTAACCTTTTTATAACTAATTTTTACTATTAAGCTTTATTTATATACTTAATATAAAGCTAAAAGTTTAACTTATTATATTAATAGCTTTTTTTTTATTAATAGCTTTTTTTTATTAATAGCTTTTTTTATATTAATAGCTTTTTTATATTACCTTTTTACATTTATTAAAACTTTTTTATAACGTAATTATTTATTTAATTAATTTTATAAAATTATTAGCTTTTTAATAATAAATTAACTTATAAGCGCTTTTAAATAATTTAAGTTATAAGTTTATATAACATTTTAATTTAATAAAATTTATAGTTAAAAGTAATTATTTTAGCTTATAATTAAGTGTTAAAATTAAAGGTTATATAACTTTTTTTATTAAAACTACTTTAAACCTTTATTTTTAATAACTAATTAAATTAAATTTAAGAAACCTATAAACTTATAACTTATATTATTTAAAAGCTTTTAAAACAGTAATTTTTTAAATATAACTTATTATTTTAATAATCTAAATTAAATTACTTTTTACATTATAAAAAAGGTTTTAATAAATATTAAAAAATAATATAATTAACTTATTAAACTTTTAGCTTTATATTAACTATATAAATAAAGCTTAATAATAATAATAAATAATATAAATAATAATGTTTTTAATTAAAAGTAATAATAAATAATAAATAATATAATAATTAATTATAATAAATGCTTATTACTTTATAAGTAAATAACATAATATATATATAAATACTTTTAAAATAGTTATTAACTTTTTTTAATTTAATTTTATTATTAGCTATAATTATTTAACTTATTTTAATTAATTATAAATGTATTAAATATATTAACGCGTTAATATTATTAAAATTATTAATTTTATTATTTTTTAAGAAAAAATCTTACTAAGTTACCTTAAACTAAAGTTTTAAAAATCTTTTTAACCGGTAAAGCAGGGGTCTGATTGGTCAAAAAGTGGTGTGGCTTAAAAGGTACATTTTCGAAACCTTTAGTCTAAGCTTGCTGAGATAAATCTAGCCTAAGGCCTCACACCGTTGTTAAGCTCCAGAACGACAAAAGACATTGTGTAATCTCCCTACTGCTTGGATAGGGGAACCCATGCCCTCCTGGTAAGTACTCAATCTGTAAGTGACTAGGTGGTAATAACTTTAAGATGTCTTCAGTGGTTTCTTCTCCAACCACAACATCGTCGTTTCGGCCAAAGAATACAAGCAGCTTGGATTCATGTAGAGGGGTATCAATTCGTGTTCGGCCAGCAATGATATCGCAAACTTTCCTCCATAAATCCCCTGTTCTCTGTAGCGGGCCATATCGGACTGTGTCCTGGAACGAATGTATGTGGCCTCGATGATGATCGAACTGCCACTGGAGAATTCCCTCCATGTCAAAGTCCCTCTGCACACGAGAAGGGCCCCTTCCCCTTTCAGAAGAACCAAGGTAAACTCCTTCAAGACTTTCTGGGGAAACCACTGGATGCTGATCAAGTTGGACGCCTGACGTCGGGCCTGAAGGAGCCACACCAAGGATTTGGCGGACCTTTTCCCGAACAGATTCCTGTGATGGTGCAACATCAGGCTGATGTATGAATAGATCCTCATAGTCTTTCGGTAGTTTGCGGATAAGACCTGCTGGAGCGAGAAGCACCATCGATCGAATCGATGCAGGAAAAGCACCCGCAAATGCCAAGGAAATAGGAGCGCCCAGGGAAAACGCCACGATGGAGAATTTGTTCTCGTTTCCTATCCAAGAAAGCGACGACGACGTGAGGGCCATCAGTATCTGTGTTGCGAATAGGCGAACATCGTGTCTACAATCGAGTGGCGTGTCACTATATCCTCGCCCCCAGAGATCTAGTAACGAGTGGACAGGTCAATTTCAACTGATCTTTATTGTCTGTGTGTACATGGCCGTGGTTTCCACTTCGTTCTTACCAAAAAGCATAACTCGGTGTCCTGCGTCCACCAGTCCTTGGGCAATCTTTGAGAAGATCAAGCATGGAGTGGCATCTCCGTGGACGAACAAGACCTTGGACCCATCTTCTGGTCCCCATTCATAGACCCGCATAGCGCCGTAGAACGTTTCTACATTGCGAGCGCCTGGAAGGGCGTTGGGCGGGTACGCCATCTTGGCGGCCTCTTCGGCCGGGATGAAGGGTATCAATGTCGCCAGGGGAGATTGGATCCTATTGAATAGAGCCATTATGCGAGTATATCCGTTCCAGGCAAGCCAGTTCTTCGATGGCAAGGTGAGTAAGAGTGAAGCTTCGTTCAGTCCCTAACGCAAGGGGCCACCGGGGCTGGCGGAACAGCCAATCGGCCAGTTATATATAAACCATGAAAACCATCCATGTGTGGGTCGTAGTAAGCTAGATGCATGAGATGTGTGTACCAACACTTACATGTGGCTCTAACGGTAACTCGCCTGGATTCTGTTGGTTACGTGGCTTATATTATGACATTATGATCGCGTGCGCTCATCCCACTCACTTAGCACCAGATCGAAGGTGTCAGCATAATAACTGGAGCAAGCCTATGAGGTCTGGTACGGCCGGCTTAGATAAATAAAAGGGGCCATGCCTAACCAAACAACTGGTCATTAGCTTCAGAAAAAGTCGCGCGCTTTTGCTTGGGGTGAAAATCCCCGCATTTCCCCCCTTCTTTTCTTTTTGAAAGCGGGCTTGGTATATATACACATAAAAACCCCGATTTTTAGCACCGGCGGGGATAGCTCAGTTGGGAGAGCGTCAGACTGAAGACCAACTTCATTCTTGAAATCTGAAGGTCGTGCGTTCGATCCGCACTCACCGCAACAATTTCACCTTTTTATCTCTCTTTCTCTTTCGGCTCCACCTGATGCAAGATCAAATATATCTCTATGTAGTAGAAATATGTTCTCATGTCGGCGGGGATAGCTCAGCTGGGAGAGCGTCGTAAGTAGTGGTCTTCCTTAGCCCTTTAGAGATTCAGTCACTAATACCTCAATAGAGACTGAAGATGAACTTCAATCTTGAAATCTGAAGGTCGTGTGTTCGATCCACACTCACCGCATAGATCACTTTTTGTTCCTCCTATCAAATCAGATGTTCTCATATAATCTGAAGTCGATACCAGAATGACGGTTTGACGACATCCCTCACAACACATACGCCCTCGATAGATCAGCAATGCAGCCATGTCAACCCTTTGGCTGGTAATGGCTGGTGATGCGGTTCCCGGCCTATTAAGTATGCCATAAGGACAACTTAACAATAACGATGTCAGTTCAATTGATAAGTTGGGCGCAATCGAGAGTAAACATACCACCGGCGACTGCAATAATACCGAATCAAACTGCTCGGAGATCTAAATCTCATGCTGTTATTGATCATCAACAAAGTAAAGTCTGTAGTGAGAACTGAAGTGCAGAAGGGTATCCTCCCCTCCGAATCCAAGGTATGTAATGTCCGCCTTGAACTTGCCCCCCCACCCCCTTGACACCGCATGCATCGCATAGTGCCGCTGGCCAGTCTCACAACGGGAGGCCCAGCGGCCCCCAAACATTCTGGTTGTGAGTTTTCATCGTACTTGACATGTAGTAGACTTACCTCAATATCTGGAACCGACCTTTGCAGATGGAACTCACTTCTGAGGGCCAGTTATTCTGGATTCTTTTCATGGCCCCGTCGGGTGCAGCATCTAGTCGCAGGGTCATTCAAATTCCAGGTCTAGCAACATGGGTTATAGAGGGTAACTAACCCCCATACCAATGTGCTTTCTGGTTGTTGGTCTACCTTGAACTAGACCCGGCGAACCAAAATATTCAGTGCCCAAATTTTTTTTTTTTTTTTTTTTTTTTTTTTTTTTTTTTTTTTTTTTTTTTTTTTGGCGTTGGTCTGGGCAAGCGAAAAACCGGACTTGTTCTTGTCTGAAAACCAACGCAGTGGCAGGCACAATTACTCTCATTACGGAACGAACTGAAGGGCGTACTTATTGAATTTTCTTTCCTGTGACCTTCAAGCTTCACCAGTTGACAGTCTCACTGTTTACTAGTAGTCGAACTACCCCTTATATTGCTGACATGTGTGCCTCGCCTCAAGCTAAGTAAATAGACTTACATCTAGTATAGCTGTCATAACCATTGGCTACTTACTTGACTAGTGCATGGTGGCTTTCGGGAAGCGTCTGGCAATAACTTGAGAAGTAATTCATCGTCTAGGTTATATTTGACCTATTGGCGGGCCGGTGATATTACTTTAATAGTATAAATTCATCTCAACTTAATGCTCCTGAGAGCCCAATAGGGCCTCAATGAGATGGGAAGATACCGCGATGTAGAAGTAAGTGGGGTTTAGTTGATATGAAAAAAAGGGCAACCTGAACAAGCCGACTCCGAGAATGCACGCACCAAGTGACCGTGATACGATCCTTCTGGGGATTTATCTCTGTAACCAAGAGAGTGTGATTGCTCCTTTGATAGCACCGACGAACCAGAGACTTGGCTGCACAGCACCTGTGGCTTTGGATATCCATCCACCACATATGGCGCCCAGCAGGGTGAGTACAAAAGCCAGAGCTCTGCGATTACGTTTTAAATTTTCCCTGACCGGATCAAGAATATGTTCGTCGCTGACCAAGTCACACAGTAGACTCGTGATAACCACCGTAGGCACTTCGCTGATACCCAACCCACGACTATTCACGATCTGGCCTGCAGCCTGGAAACTGAGTAGCGCCACCGGTGCAAGTTCAACGAAATCCACATCCGCCGGGTCTCTCTGTGAGGGATATGTACCGTCGACGATGCCCACCTGTATGATCGTAGCCGCGACAACTACACAGACTGTTTGCAGAAGAAAAGACAGCAGGAGAGTTCTTCGCAGGCGCCCGCCACCGATGAGTTTGTGCATTCGAGAGAACGCTAGGCATCCTATGGTGAAACAACCTATCGAACAAAGGGAACGGGCCCATCCGAAAGGCTTGTTATTCTGCCCAGACGCTCCGAGCGCAACGAAGACGGTGTTTCCTGGGGGGCTTTAGAATCGCGACCAAGATTAGAGCTATGTCACGAAGGCGTCACGGCCTACCAGTTTGCATAGAGACGAAGGTTCCGTAGGCTAGAGTGTCACATGTTAGCAACAAAACTGCTACACGTTGTAACGGCATATTTCCTCTCACCATTGTATAAAGTTCCGTCAGTGAGGCCAGTTGCGAAGCAGCAGGCAAGTAAAGGTATAGACCCGAAGCCGGGATTAACCTCCTGAGAAAGACGCCTCAGAATGCCAGGGGCAGAAGGACCTAGCTGGGGCGCTTCTGGGTTGAATGTCGTGTCAAGTTCGAGCTTCTCCTCGTCCGGCATTGTGAGCTGTGTTGTTTTAAGGGTACGGTAGGTTTGCCCGTTGATGGTAGGCAGACATTATGATCAATATTGGAGAAGTATGATATGGATGTTGAATGTAAACCCAAGGGACCAAATTGAGGTTCATAGACGGCGACCAAGCTGGGTAGTTCAGCAGGTCTCAAATGACTGCATGAAAGTCAGCCCCTGTTCCGTGCGCGATTGAGAAAGGAGACACTTGGTTGTTCTTGGCTCACCACTAATGCATATGCAGAAAAGCTTCGGATATCCCTAAATCCCTCATTCTTGCATGCAGCGTCCCAAGGGGTCCTCCAATGTGGACCACGAACTCGAGAATGGTTCCCCGATGTTGAGCAACCCCGGAGTTATGGCGATATAACGGTGGGCAGATGGGAAGAACATGACGTGCACCAGTCACCTGGGGCCTGATGGACGTGACGACAAACAAGGAATTTGCGTCAACATTGCAGAATCTTACAGGAATTCTGAGCAGACCTCACTGTAAGAATAGCACGGTGGACATCTAGACGGGTGAGTGCAATCTCGTTGCGAATGCATTCCTACAGCGCCATCAGAACTTATATCTAGGTACGCCAATGTAGCTAATGCAAAGGGAACCCTGTCCCGGGCCAGTGCCGAGACCTTGGGGATCACCAATCCGACTAACGGCCTTCGTCTCGGGGCCGCTACTGAGGGCTCGTGCTTGGCGGCAGCAATTTGCTCCTTTGTGCCAGCTGAGTCCGACGGCGTTTAGCTCCAGGGGGCAAACCGGACAGGGCAATTAGGCCCTTGCCCAATAGCGTTCGTGTCTTGAAAATATGTTGAGGATGCATGTGTTCTGTTGTCAGATGACAGGCCGTGGCGGCCAAGCAGGACAGCACCCTCTATCATACTACCCAGCTCGAATGATCGTCAATATGATTGGGTAGCCTAAAGTGGCTCGGTCGAAAGGGTAGACCAGGTGAGCTATCAACGGGTATCCTATCGATGCCGTCTTCATCTCGTTACAGGATACCGAAAGTATACATCGACCGTGCAGGAGGCCCGGGGAGGCTTTGTGGCTTAACGCGTACTCGAGAGGATGCGCACAGAAGGCCCGATGAAGATTATGACCGATCGATTCTCCTGAGAATTCCTTCTCTCGGACCCTGAAAATGGATGGATCTAACTTGGCGCCAAGCGGATTGCTTATTTCCAGGATGCTTCAGCAACTAAGTTAGATATCCTAACGCACGTTAAAATATTGTCAAGGCCAAGCAACACGTGCATTACAACCTTGATAACACGGCTGTATCCTTCCTGAGGGTGTTAGTTGTGAGGCCTCCCTTGACTACAAACCCATGAACTCCCCTAGGTGGACCTGTATCGAGATGCTCGGCCCGCCAAGTGAGCTAAGTCTGTTGATAATATTCAACAAGTCTAAAGAGCATATCCAAGCACCGAAATAACTGCTGCACAATAAGCTCGCGATACCGCGGCGTATACGAGCGTCATGAGTGTAAATGAAGCGTGGCGCTGGCCGATGAGTCTGGCTTCGACGAGCACAACACTGACGAAGGCATAGGAGGGAACGGGAACATATCGGGCATAGATATGCAACAGTCGTTCATTGCTGAAGAGAATCTGTCTCGATCCCCCAACATGTATGCACGTAACAGAGACCGTCTAGTGAAGCCTGGAGCTTGGCAGGACGTAGGGTTCGGGAGCTAAGCAACGAGCTCATGCAGCAGACAGACCATGCGAGGTTAAAATGATGGCATCTTCTATGACCCGCAGATAGAGGAACGAAGGGGAGGGGCTGATCACATATTGGAGTAGTAGTTGAGCAGTGTGAGCCTCCTATACTTCTCACCACGGTCTGGGTCACCTCCTTGGATACTAGGGCTTAACCTAGTCGCTGAGGCTGCTTCTCCCGGCTCGGCCCGCTGCAAGCTGCTATGCACAATTACTAGCCCAACCTCACATCATCCAGTTAGGGATGCCGGAGACCTAGGGTGGCCTAGGAGGATATCTTTTCCTCAGCTGTCTTACGGGTGGGTTTGTACACCCAGGCTTATCATCCCCGAGACGCTCGGAACAAGACAGGGTGGACAGGGCTGGTAAGCCACAGAACGTAGATCATTGGAGTGCCCGCGATGTTGGTGATAGATCACTAGATAAGGAACAGCCACATTTTCTATATTAAGTCACGCATGTTTCCGGACTGAGGCCGCCGCACGATGCACCGTCTGAGACTTGATTGGTTAGATCTGCTCGTAACGTCCTGCAAGGAGCACATACCAATGTGACGTTAGACTCTAATTGGCCGTGTTTTAGCAAACAGTATACTGTACATTCTGGTCGTAGATCGGGACATAGGGAGAGCACCGTGGCGCCCACCGCTTCACGGGAAGGTTGATCAGAAGCAGTGGCAACGCTGTTAAGCCAGGCTGAAACATTGGTGGATCTAGACAATATGCTATACTCCTCTAATGGACTTGAAGTAGAGATGGAATTCCTCTTCTATATGACAAGGTAAATCCGTGGCTGTTGCTCGGAAACGATAAGCTATGAGGATATTATAGAAATGTCTCACGAAATCAACCTAATTGTAACTGTGAAAGAGAAGAAGTGGTGTAAACCTGCTCTCGGCATAGATGCGATACCGCCGCGGCCCCAAAAGGGTTGCCCAGTTGCACGAAGAAACGCCCAAGTTGCTCAACTGTATGCAACA